CCTCCCCTCTCCTCCCCTCCCCTCTCCTCCCCCTCCCCTCTCCTCTCCTCCCCTCCCCTCTCCTCCCCCTCCCCTCTCCTCTCTTTCCCCTCCCCTCTCCTCCCCCTCCTCAGAGGCAGCCATCCCCCATATATGACGTAATCTTCGGTTTGTTGGTGTTCGTGTAAGACAGCTAAGCTCTTGCCTTCGTGTGCCTGCCTTCTTCATGCACCAGATGGCATTGGGCATCAGCCTCATTCCGTTTCTCATTCCTGTCCTTCATTTTTTAAGCCCACCTTTTACTGGGGTCTAATAACCATACAGAAGGGAGCATGAGTCCTAAGTGAAGAGCTCCATGAATTGTCACAAAATGGACTCACCATGTAACCACCCCACAGAGGGTTGAAGGGCACGTTTCCAGCACCCCAGGGCCACCCCCCCAACCTCCCTCCCCGTCAGGTGGTTCCTCTCCTGACTTCCAGTAGTGCAGGTTAGTTTTGCCTGGTTTTGAACTGCTGTTTTTTTTTTAATTAATTGAGATATTTAATAGACAGTGCAAACCATAGTTTCATCTGATTATAAATGTATGAGTTATCTATCAGTTATCACAAACAGCAACAAGGACCTTAGAGCTACGTTAGAAAAATGTATAGCTGGGACTTAACTCTAACAATCTCACGCGCTCTCAAGAGAACACCATCCGTTTCAAATCAGTGTCACAAACTCCAAAAAGACGAGGGGAGTGGGAGTGAGGAGTGCGCCAGAGTGGGAAACACAGGGGCCAGTACACAGGTGATGGACAGAAATACAGCTCTCAAGGAAACCAAAATCAGATGCATTATTACAGCTAAGGACAAGCTTATGGCTTTTAAACAACAACTCCTGGGCTTCCCTGGTGGCGCAGTGGTTGAGAATCCGCCTGCCAAGGCAGGGGACACGGGTTCGATTCCTGGTCCGGGAAGATCCCACATGCCACGGAGCAACTAAGCCCGTGTGTCACAACTACTGAGCCCGCGTGCCACAACTACTGAAGCCCGCGTGCCTAGAGCCCATGCTCCACAACAAGAGAAACCACCGCAATGAGAAGCCCACACACTGCAACGAAGAGTAGCCCCCGCTCGCCGCAACTAGAGAAAGCCTGGGCGCAGCAACGAAGACCCAACACAGCCAAAAATAATTAAACAAAATAAATAAATTTATTAAAAAAATACAAAACAACTCCTGCCAGTACCATACAAGTCTTACAAAGAAATGTGTGACAAGTCAGCTGACTTAAAAGGACAGAGGCTACATTTTCAGGTCATTTCAACTGCAAACGGTCGACCCTATCCATTGAGGTTCAGCAGTGGAGTCAGTGTAGTCCAGAAGCTCAATGTTGGATTTGCAAATACAGTTTATTTTACAGAAAGTCAACATTATAAACAGCAGGCACCTCCCCCGCCCCTTGCCTGTCCCGCTGGGTGCAGACCATGCTATGCAGAGTGAGCAGTGATGCTGCCCTACTTCTTTGGAGGAAGATTCGAGAGTGATGGAACCTGCCTGCCCTGCACACGCATGTGCCTGCCCGCCGCGCAGGCCATCAAACTGGGCCCAGCCCACACTGGACCGGTTAAGTGGATCCAGCCCGGGTCTCCAATTCCTTCACGTCGTCGTCTTCCTCTTCCTTCTTCTTGGTGGGTTTTGTTGGTAGGGATATAGAGGGAACATTTGGTAGAGGGACTGTTTCCGGTCCACTGATTTCCAGCATATTCTTGTCTAGTTCCTCCTGTTCTAGTTCTTCTAATTCTGTCACGAGCTCCTCCTCGTCAAACTCTTCTCCAAAGCCTACAGATTTTGAAATAGCTGTTGAAGTTTCTTCTGCAGGTTCCTGCTGGTCAGCAATGTCCTGCGTTAACTCATCAGCTTTATCGACGTCCGTGTTGTCGTGGGCAACCTTCATGGCTTTGGTGGCATAGCCCACGTTCTTGAGCACCTCGGTGTTGGTGTTGGCATTCTCCAGGGACTCTCGCTGGAACTCGATGGTTGACAGCGTGCTGTTGATCTGTACCGACTGCTTTCCATACCTCTTTTTGCGCTTCAGTGCCTAGAGGGCAGCACGCTTGATTTTGGTGTCGTGCTTCTTGGCGGCCATCAGCTCCTGCTCTATCTTCTTCTCCAGGAATTCTTACTTCTTACTTAGCATCTCCTCTGTGTTCCAAAGCCTCTGGATGGCCTCCCGGTGGGGGGGGGGGGGGGGGGTTGGGCCGCCCTTGCCGGCTTTACCCCCTCCAGCCCCGAACAGCTGCCCAAACACTGACACTGCTGCTGCTGGACGTGCCAGCCTGCGCTGCCCGCTCCCCGCCCTGCCACCCCCTGCCGCCGCAGCCCTCCTGAACAGCTGTGTTTTTTTAAGCTGTGGCTTTCTCCTGGTTTCCCTGGGAACATCTTGCTTGGAACCTGCCTTCCTACTAAGCTCCCCCTGCCCCATCCCGCAGGCCCACACCCCAGCTCTCCCTCTTCCACTCCACCTCCTTGTCTCCCGAGCGATGCCTTGGCCCCCAGTGTGCCCACACCCCCTGCCCTGCTCGGTTCTTGTGAGGTCCAGACGGTCAGGTCCCTACATTCTTCCTTTTCTCACCTCCAGCCTGCACCTCCTCCAAGGGGAGAGAGTCTTCGCTTGGGGACCCAGTCTGACCTTGGGACAGATTCTCTACAAGCGGCAGCTTCCTGTCCTGCCATTCTCCTGCCCTCACTCGTCACTCTGGACAGGCTACATCTCCTCTCTGAACCTCTCCACTGGCGCTTCTTGTACTACAACCCGGGTTTCTGGGTGGGATGGTGTATTCATTTCCTAAAGCTGCCCTAACAAAGTATCACAGACTAGATGGCTTAAAACAACAGAAATTTATCCTCTCTCAGTTCTGGGAGCCAGAAGTCTGAAATCCAGGTATCGACAAAACCGCATTTCCTCTGAAACCTGTAGGGGAGAATCCTTCCTGGCCTCTTTGCAGCTGCTGGTGGTGGCTGGCGATCCTTGGAACTCCTTGGCTTGTAAATGCCTCACTCCAGCCTCTGCCTCCATGTTGTATGGCCATCTTCCCCCTGTATGTCTCTGCTTATGAGGACACTAGTCACATTGGATTAAGGACCCACCCTACTCCGGTATGAGATCCTCTTAATTGATTACATCTGCAGCTATTTCCAAATAAGCTCACACTCTGAGGTCCTGGGAATTAGGGCTTCCACATCTCTTTGGGGAACACGATTCATTGTGTAACAGATGGAGTAAGGAGGAGCCTAGAGGGAGGGGAGGAGGCCTGAGATCAAGTTTCCAAGCCAGACATCCAGCTTGTTAATGTCCTGCCTCTTCTCCCTGGTGCAGAACCCCGTGGGTGTGGGTCGCTACCTCAACACCCAGCTGATGGAGACAAAGGACCATCGGCAGCGATACCGGTCCCTGTTCATGGGTGGATCCAAGCGCTACCTCTCGGACCCAGCCCGGGACAGGCTCATGCAGTGAGTGCCACTGGAGCTCCAGCAGAGGGGCAAGGGCACAGAGGGGCTTACTCTGGGCTGGGCTGGGGGCTCCAGCATCTTGTGCTTGGTTCCCATGGGAGCACAGCTGCCGCCCCTAGTGCCAGGCAAACAGCTGTGGCAGTGGAAAGAGTTCAGATCCTGGCTCTGATGCTTACTGGCTATGTGAGGTGGGGCACATCGCTTAACCTCTCTGCGCCTCACTTCCCTCAGCTGTCAATGAGCAGGAGACGGTGGAGACCCAAATGGAATATTCTGTCTAAAGTTGGTGGTAAGGAGAAAAGGAACTCCATCGAGGCAACTCCTCCACCCACAACCCACACAGTCTAGGATTACCTTGCATGGCATCACCACATGGAATCTGCTTCTTGGTGTTGAAAACGGGGCTGGGAAAACTCACCTCAGGAAGTTGTTGTGAAACCTAAAGAAAAAAGCGCATGGAATACTGTGGCTAACTGTAAAACAGCTTGCAAATGTTAGCTGCCGCTGTGTCTTATTGACCTAAGATACCATCAATTGCCGTGTAATCTCAACTTCAGAAATGTTAAAATATGAATAAACATGCACTTTAGAATTGGAAATTCTGGTGAGAGCATGAGGACCAGATTCTGGGGGACCAGATCTAAATATTTAAAAACAGCTTTTAGGGCTTCCCTGGTGGCGCAGTGGTTGGGGGTCTGCCTGCCGATGCAGGGGACACGGGTTCGTGCCCCGGTCCGGGAGGATCCCACATGCCGCGGAGCGGCTGGGCCTGTGAGCCATGAACGCTGAGCCTGTGCGTCCGGAGCCTGTGCTCCGCAACGGGAGAGGCCACAACAGTGAGAGGTTAAAAAAAAACAACAACAAAAAAACCCCAGCTTTTAAATATTTTTATCAAAGTAGACCTGTGTCTTCTTTTTTTTTTTTTTCTTTTTGCGGTATGTGGGCCTCTCACTGCCGCGGCCTCTCCCGTTGCGTGAGTGCTACAGGACTTCCCTTGTAAACTGGCTTAGAATTCTGTGTCTACTACTCAGCTGTGCGACCTAGGACATGTTACTTGGAGACAGACTTTCATCTGAAAAGTGAGAGTAAACAAAATAACCACCTTGTAGAGTCTGCTTTAAGGACTGAAGGCCATAATGCATGTAAATGTGCCCTGCCCTGTGGATGATGTTTTGTAGGTATGTTGTAAGTGCTGGCTTCCCGGGTCCTTAGCTGCTGCTAGGCCTTGGCCGAATTCCGTCTTGTTAATACAAGGGTAAGTTCTTTTTTTTTTTTTTTAAAGTTTTTAATTTTATTTAATTTTCTTATAGAGCAGTTTTTATTAGTCATCCATTTTATACACATCAGTGTATACATGTCAATCCCAATCTCCCAATTCATCACACACACACACACACATACACACCCCCGCCGCTTTCCCCCCTTAGTGTCCATGCGTTTACTCTCTACATCTGTGTCTCAATTTCTGCCCTGCAAACCAGTTCATCTGTACCATTTTTCTAGGTTCCACATATATGCATTAATATAAGATTTTTTTTTTTGCTTTCTGACTTACTTCACTCTGTATGACAGTCTCTAGATCCATCCACGTCTCAACAAATGACCCAATTTCGTTCCTTTTTATGGCTGAGTAATATTCCATTGTATATATGTGCCACATCTTTATCCATTCATCTGTCGATGGACATTTAGGTTGCTTCCATGACCTGGCTATTGTAAATAGTGCTGCAGTGAACATTGGGGACAAGGGGTAAGTTCTTTACAGAGGCTGAAAATGCACATCACCCAGGAAAAGAAACTACAATGGCTTAAATCACCCTTTGTTGTCAAAGACCCAAGGAAAAGACTACTAAGATGGAGATTTGATAGAGACAGGGAGAAACAGGAGGGCATTTCACCCTGAGGGAGGGTGGGAGCTTTGAAAGTAGGGGCCAAAAACGTTAAATGTGACAGTGAAATACCAAAGGTTTCTCATGAAGTCAAGAACGAAACAGGGATGCCTATATCAGTGGCATTATTCAACATTGTTCTGGAGGTTCTAGCAAATGTAGTAAGACAAGAAATAAAAATATTGGTAAAGAAGAGCAAAATCATCACAATTTATAATGGTATGTGTGTTTACCTAAAGAAATCCAAGAGAGTTCATTTTATTTATTTATTTAAATTCACTCTTTTTTTAAAAAAAATAATTTATTTTTGGCTGCGTGGGGTCTTCATTGCTGCATGTGGGCTTTCTCTAGTTGTGGCGAGCAGGGGCTACTCTTCATCGCTGTGTGTGAGCTTCTCATTGCGGCGGCTTCTCTTGCTGAGGAGTACAGGCTCTAGGTGTGCAGGCTTCAGTAGTTGTAGCACACGGGCTCAGTAGTTGTGGCACGCAGGCTTAGTTGCTCCACGGCATGTGGGATCTTCCCAGACCAGGGATCAAACCCATGTCCCCTCCATTGGCAGGCGGATTCTTTACCACTGCGCCACCAGGGAAGTCCCGAGAGTTCATTTTAAAACTGCAAAGTAAGGAAGCAAGTGCAATAAAGTGTGTAAATAGTTTCCTTTGATTCTGCAGCCACAACAAATAGAAAACTTAATTGAGAAAAAGATTCTATTCTTATGAGCTACACAATGCAATGCATTGGGATAAACTTAATCAAGTATATTCAAGGCATAAATGGAGAAAAATATAAACCTTTACTAAAAGATGTTAAAGAAGGCCTGAATAACTGGAGCGAATACCAGGTTCATGGATGGAAAGGCTCAATATTGAAAAAATAGTAATTCTCCCCATTGATGTACACATTTAGTGCCATTTTTAATCAAATTGTAAGGGGGTTGGTAGGGGGAATTGAATACATTTATTATAAGCTTTGTCTGAAAGAGTAAATACATATGAATATTAAAAAATAGGAGACTAACAATCCCATCAACAAATGCATTGCCACATGCATTTGACAACACACCATGGAGGACTAGACCCCAGACTGTTGACCATGGTGACACCTGGGGGGTCTTTTGCATTCTACCTTGTTTTATTTCTGAAATGTTTGAAGTTTTCAAAGTAAACATATATTATTTTTATAATTAGAAAAAAACAAATAAAAAAAGGACAAGAACTCTTGAGGCAGACTACACCAATTATGGGTTCTTGTGGACCCATCTCTAGCCAAGAGTCACCCTTTGTCTTCCAGACCTCAGTTTTCCCATCTGTAAAAGGGAAATACTTTATACCCTAGAGGACATGGCTGGGCATAATTAAGGCTTATGAATGCTACCGAATGGAAGCCAACCATCAGGTGCCTGTGGGTGTCTGATGGTCAGGCCAGTGCATGATTCTCACTGGGACTCAGGTTCATTGTTCATGAAGCCCCAACTCCATTGGACTCTTGGGTCAGGAGGACTTTGCCACGAGGCACAGAAGGTAAGTCATAAGTTGGGAAGAAGGATTTCCTTATATGCTCTTTCATGGATTGATTCATTTGAAAGACCTGTTCTGTGCTTGGTTCTGCCCTGAGTATTGCTGCGCCGCTGACTGTTTTCAGGTGATGAGAAATGTTCTCTCATTCATTCACTGAGTTTTTTATTTCTGAGTTCATATTTTAATTTCTAAGAATTATTTTTGTTTTCTGAATGTTCCTTTTAGTAACAACATGCTCATATTTCATGGATACAATGCTTTCTTATCCTTTGAAGATATTATTAAGACAAATTTGCCTGACATAGTCTCCTTCTGTTTCAATTTTTTTTCCCACGTGTTTGTTTTGGCCTCAATCTTCCATATCAGAGATTTTTCTCAAATATCTGGTGATCCTTGACAGTGCACTCATGTCTAATTGAAAATCCTGCTAGAGACTCTGGGGCACTTGTTGACCATTGGTTCACCATAGCATGACCAAGCTGAGTGTTTTCACTGGGGGAATTTCAGTGTCGGTGTTGTTAGATCTTTTTCTCTTGGCCTTGGCTGGAGAAAGCTCTTCTGAGAGATGTAAACCTGGCTGCCAGAATGTTACGTGGGGGAGAAGAACTTAGAGATCTCAATATTTAGTGATCAAACTCCCATTTGATTCCCTGTTTTAAATAGGATACTCGTGACATCAACTCTTCCCGGTATCATCCTGTACAGAGAACCTCTCTGTCTCCAGAGAATAAATTCTGCAATCTTCATTTATGAAGGGTATTCATCTGGCTGCAGAGAGTGGAGAGGGAAGTTGATATTACACAGACATTCAATCCATACCCTTGTGTTGGTGCACTCCCAATTCCAGAGGTACCTAGTGCTGCCAATTCCTCGGTCTTTTGGAGTGAGGGAATTCTTAGCTTTAACTTCTTCTATTTTAGGATTTAGCTTTCTTGGGTATGCTAACATAGTTACCATTCTTCCATCTGCTTTTCAACTTCCTAAATATTCTCTCTTACTGCTGCTGCTTCTATGCTTTTTGTCCTTGTGGGTATATGATTTTAAATGTGTATTCCTTTACTCCTGTTTTAGTGAGATTTCAGGAGGGTTGGAGGTTAATATATGCATTCAATCCACTAAAAGTGTGGTGAAATTTCTGAGTTTCAAAAGTAAAATAAAAATCTTGGAGATGTCAGATCTAAGAAGACAAATAACCTACGATCTAGATAAAAGACAATGAGACATGTTTTGGGCCTCTCTTCTGAAACATGAATGATAGAAAACACTGTTTATACAACAAGAAAAAGACTTGAGACTAGAATTCTCTATGTAGCCAAACTATCATTCATGGGCAAATAGAGATGCACAAGAATTTGGGATGTATACCAAATGTATCTTTTCTGAAAATATTACTGGGGGATATACTGCAAGTGAAAAATGAATTAGCATAGGAGCTCAACAAAGGGGAAGACATAAAATGTAAGAATATATCTAGCTATGATTTACCAGATAAATGTGAACAACAGCAAAAAGTGGTAATACAAATACCAAGCAAAATAGAATTCAAGGCAAAAATATTAAATGGGACAAAGATGAGTATTTAATCATGGTAAAC